AAAGTATAATAAAATTTTAGATATAATAATGATAGGTATAATAATAATAAGGATAATAATGTCGTTAACAATAATAAATTAATGATAATAATAATGATGATGATAATAATATTGTTGATAATAATAATGATGATGATAATAATATTGTTGATAATAATTATGATAATAATAATGACAATAATAATAATCATTATATCAATAACAGCAGCAATAATGATAGTTTGAATGATAGTAATGATAATAACAATAATAAAATGAACAATTATACAATAATGATAATGATGATAATTATATTGTAAATAATAATATAATATAACAAAATGATTAAATGATAGTGAAATGATCAATATAATAATAATAATTATACCAATAATAGCATGTTGGTAAAGATGATGATAACATGAATGTTAATAACTACAACAACAATAATAATAGTGATAATGATAATAATAATAACGACAATAATAATAATAATAATGATAGAAATATTGATAAAAACAATGATAATAGTTGCAAAAGCGATAATAATGTTAGCAACAATAACAATAATAGAAAATATGATAATATTGATAATGATTATGATAATATAATTATAACATCAATGATAATGATGATGACAGTAATACTAATATTGATAATGATAACAATAGTAATGATAATGATGAAAATATGATAATAATAGTGATGATAATAAGAATAATAAAGAAATGTAAATGCTAATGATAATAAGAATAATAATGATAATATAAGTAATAATAATAACAGTAATAATAACAACAATAATCATAATAATAAAAACAATAAAATAAACGCAATGATTTTTGTTAGCATCACTATTTCCTCAAGACAATATCCACTTCCTCCCGAAGGATCAATGCATTTGGAGCCTTTCCGATCGTCTAACCACAGCACTCTCCTCCTATATTGCTTCTCCCTCTGTTATTTAACACTACCACGCTCCGCAAAGAATAAGAGCATAAGAACCTACTTTAAAACCTCAAATTCGCTCGATCCTCGTCGCAAAGTTTTCCGAAGACCGAGTCACAGGAAGAACTTCGAACGTGTCTCCTCACAATTTTCCCGCCAACTCGCCCAGAACATTATTATCACCGACACTTTCATCACTTTTCCCGCCATTTCTGGAGGCTCAGGGAAATTTTGCAACTGTAAATGCGAACTGTTTTTTTTCTTTGATCTTATCATATTTATTTATTTATTTATATTTATATATATTTATCTATTTATTCTTCATATTTTACTTCTTTTTCTTTTCTCTCTCTCTTTTTTTTGCATTCAATTTCCGATTAATTAGTACATTTTTAATTGCGCTGATTAGCTTCGTTAAGATACCTAGCATTTTATGTGCATTTATTTGTATTTCTTTCTCCGTTTTCGAATGGTAATTAATTTGGTAAATCTAATAATATCTTTTTCCTGCGCTTAATAAAATGCCAACTCATTACCGCAATGAGCAAATTTGCTTTCCCTGTCGCTTTCTCTCTCTCTCTTTCTCTCTTTCATGAATATAGGAAATTAGGTAAGAATACAAAGATTGAAAAGCGAGAAAGAATAAAACAAACAAACAAACGATCAACCACTCAAAATAAGAAAAAGAAATAAGAGAAAAAAGAAAAGAAAAGAAAAGAAACAGAAAAGAGAGTAAAAGTGCATATAAGAAAGCGAATAAGAATAAACAAAACGAACAAACTCGAAAGAACCAAAGAAAGTAAAAGTGCAACTCTGAAAAAGCGAGAAAGAGAGAGAGAGAGAAAACACGAGAATCAAAAGCTCAGAAAAGAACAAAACGAAACGATAAAAGAAAAAAGTAGAAGTGCATATAACAATTCAAAGAAGAAAATCAAAACTCGAAAAGCGAGGAGAAAGAGAGAGAGAGAGAGAGAGAGAGAGAGAGAGAGAGAGAGAGAAGAGGGAGGAGAGAGAGAGAGAGAGAGAGAGAGAGAAGAGAGAGAGAGAGAAGAGGGAGAGAGGAGAGAGAGAGAGAGAGATAGAGAGACAGATAGATAGATAGATAGAGAGAGAGAGAGAGAGAGAGAGAGAGAGAGAGAGAGAGAGAGAGAGAGAGAGAGAGAGAGAGAGAGAGAGAGAGAGAGAGAGAGGATCAAACACCCACAAAAGAACCAGAGGAAATGATAAGGGAAAAAAAGAGTAAAAAGAACCAAAGGAAATGATAAGAAGAAAAAAGGGGGATAAAAAAAGTAAAAAGAAATGTTCGATTCCGCGCACCGGCCTCGGCGTCGCACCCACCTGGCTCGCCATTCTCCCGAACCTTCCCGAACATGGTGGCGTTCGGGAAGACGGGAGCGTTGTCGTTGATGTCCTTGACGAGGACGGTGACGACGGTCTCGGCCACGTGGACCTTCTCCCTCGCCGCGCTCCCTCCCCCCCTCGAGTCGTCGAACCACCACCCTTCCCTCTCTGCGTCGTCCTGGGCGTAGGTCAGGTCGTAGCAGTGAGTGATTTCGGTGAGCATTTTGAGCGCCGGGTCGTCGTTGGGGTCGTCGGCCATGAGGATGTCAGCGCGAGGGGTCGTTCTCTTGATGCGATTGTGTTCGGGCGAGTCGTGGTAGTCGAGGTCGAAGTCTGTGTCGGCGCGACGTGTTCGGAGGTGTTCTTCAGGACGATGGATTCCTGTCTTTGGGGTTTGGAAGCTGTTCTCGGACGACGCTAAATAGCCTGACCTTCCTAAGCCTTTAATTCCATTGGTTGTGCTTTCCTTCTGCTCTCCGTTCCTTGTTTTCAGTTCGGCGCCTTTTCTTCTGCGAAAAATTCCCTCCTTTATTGTTGTCATTAACGGCTCTTCCGTCTTTTTGTGTTCCCTCGTTTCTTCCTGTTCTTCACCGCCTTCCTTTTCCTCTCCACTTTCTTCTTCATCCCCTCCCTCTTCAATTACGTCTTCTCCTTCTTCCTCCTCCTCTTCCCCTTCTCCGCCATTACTGCCTTCCTCTCCCCATTCTCCCATTTCGTATTCGTTGGTGCGACGTCGGCTTCGTCTTGGCTTGGTGACTCGGAAGGTGAAGGGAACGAGTGCGTGGTCGTTGCTCTCTTCGGAACCCAGGACCAAGGGGCTATCTCTGTCCCTTTGTGATTTTCGCTCTCCATTTCTTCTCCTTCCTTCTTTGCCTCCTACGTCTCTCGGTGTTTTTCTCTTCTCTCTTTTCCCTCTTCTCTTCGTGCTCTTTATCTTCCCTTTCCGTCCGGTTTCTTTGCCTCCCGTTCCCGCTTGTCCTTCGTTTATTTCTCCGTTCTTCCTGCCTCCTCCATCTCCCAGTTCCAATAATGTGCTATCCTTTCCCTCTCCGGTGTTTATTGCATCTCCCTCTCCTCCTCCTTCTTCGTCTCCTCTTCCTCCTCTTCCTCCTCCATGTCGCCGACGAAGACGATAAGCACGAGGAGAATGCTGATCCTCTCTCTTCCTCTTCCACCCTTCTCCCTCCATCATCACATCCTCCTCCTCTTCCTCCTCTGTCCATTGACCCCTGGAAGAGACGAGGTCACCGTAGCGACCATCTCGGACTTGAACTTTGACCCGCCATATCTTTCGACCATCGGGGGGGTCACGGTCAAGAGCCTTTGGTGAATGGGCAAAAAGAGGTAGATTTAGAACAGCAAGCACATAGAGACGTATATCTTATGGGTAAAATAGATATTAAAAGAATTTAAGAGTAACAAATTTTAACACACTTTGATGATAAAATAGAAAGTAAACCTAAAAGTATCAAAACTAACATTTCTATACTTGCAAGACATTATACGCTTCGGAGTAACTGAACACACACACACACACACACACACACACACACACACACACACACACACACACACACACACACACACACACACACACACACACACACACACACAGTTACCTGACTCACCATAAAAAGGATTTTTCACAGGCAAGAAGAGCTCTCGCGGACAGCAGTTACAGGGACACCAAAATAGAAAATAAAAAGACTTACATATAGATTATCTCCCCACAACGGAGGATTAAACAAAGTTATGGTGATGATGATAATGATGATGATGATGATGATGATGATAATAACAATGCTAATAATGATTTTCGTAATAATTATAAAAACGATAATGATAATAATGAAAATAAAAAAATAATGCTAATGATAATGGCAATGATAAAATCACAGAAACAATAATAATAACAATGATAATGATAATTATACTAACAATTAAGCAATTCGCTTAATGATAATTATTCAAAAACGGATATGAAAAATTGAGAATCACGAACCAAAAGCACACAAAAACAAAATAACAAAAGACGAACAAACGAACAAATCCACTCAATCCCTGAACAAATAAACAAGTAAACAATGTGAAAAAAAAATTGGAAAGAGATCGAGAAAAACGGACGAAAAAGAAATCCGAACAAATACACAGACGTAAAAAAGAAAAAAAGAAAAAAGAGTGACAGACCATTTCAGTGCCTGTGCTTCAACAAGAAAACGTGACGCTATCAGGAACCGACACTCTTGCCCCCTCTCGCCCCCTTCCCCCTCTCCCCTCCCCCTCCCCTCTCCCCTCCCTACCCTTTTTACCCTCACTCTTTGGCTCTCCCTTTCCTTCTTTCCTTCTCTTTCTCTTTCTCTTAATATCTTCACCCTTTTTTTCTTTGCCTTTCCCCCTTTCTTTCTCCTGTCCCCCTCCCCCCTCCTTCCCTCTCCTTCCCTCACTACCCTTTTTTACTCCTTTTGGCTCTCCTCTCCCCCTCTCCTCCTCTTTCTCTAATATCTTCACCCTTTTCTTTGCCTTTCTCCCTTTCTTTCTCCTTGTCCCCCCCCCCTTCCCCCTCCCCTCCCCTCTCCCCCCTCACTACCCCATTTTACCTTCTCTCTTCGCCTCTCTCTCTCCCCTCTCTTCTCTTCTCTCTTAACATCACCTTTTTTTCCGTTGGCTCTCTCTCTTCTTTCTCTGCCCCCTCCCCTCCCCCTTCCCTCACTACCTTTTTACTCCCTCTTCCTCTCTCCTCTCCTCTCCTTCTCTCCTCCTCTTTCTCTTAACATCTTCACCTTTTTTTTTCTTTCCTCTCTCTCCTTTTTCTCTTGCCCCCTCTCCCCTTCCCCTCTCCCCTTCCTCTCCTTCCTCACTACCCTTTTTACCCCCCTCTCTTTGGCTCTCTCTTCTCTCTCCTCTTTCTCTTAACATCTTCACACTTTTTTTTCTTTTTTCTCTCTCCTTTTTTCTCCTTGCCCCACACTCCTTCCCCTTCCCCTCTCCTCCCCCCTTTCTCCCTGTTTCTCTTTGCCTCCCCCCCGCCCCGTTCTTTCTATTTTTCCCTCGTTCCCTGACTACCATGCTTATTCTCTCTCTCTCTTCGACGCTCCTTCCCTTTCTCTCTCTTCCCCCCCCCCCCCCCTCTTGATAATACTTTTACTCTCTCTTTTTACCGCTCTCCCCCCTCCCTCTCTCTTTTCTTCTATATTGTCCTTACTACTACATTTATCCTCTCTTTGGCTTTTCTCCCCTTCCTTCTTTCCTCCTCCTCCCCTTGCCTTTTACTCTTTCTTCTATCTACACATCTTTTCCCCTTTTTCCTCCTCCTTTTCCTTCTCCTTGTTTTACGTGCAATCTCTTTTAACCTCTTCTCTCTTCCTTCCCAATTCACTCTTTCGCCCTTTTCTGCCACGTTGCTCTTTCTCTCTTCCTCTCTTCTCTTCCCAGCTCCTTATCTTTCTTTCTTTTCCCTGTCGCTCAGTTTTCCCTCTCTCTCTTTCCCTCTCTTCCCTTCCCTTCTTCTCTTCCACCTCTTCCTCCTACCTATCACTTTATACTATCTCTTTGCTTCTCTTTGATTGCCTCTTCCTTGTTCATTCCTCCCTTTTACCTCAACTCTCTTCTCCACTCTTCTCCTTACCTATCCCAGTCCCCCTTCCCTCTCCCTTGCCCCTTCCTCTTTCCATCTATCTCCACCACTCACCTATCCTTCCCCCCTTCCCCTTACCTACCTCAACCCCCCTCTTCCCTCTCCCCTAACCCTTACCCTCCTTCTTACCTTCGAAATTTCTCCCCCTTCTTCCTCCCCTGCTCCTCCTTCCCCCTTTCTCATTCCCCCTTCCCTTTCCCCTCCCCTTCCCCCCTCCCCCCCTTCTCTCCCTTCCCCCTACTCCCCCTCCCCCCTCTCTCCTCCCCCTCCCCTCCCCCTCCCCCCCCTTCCCCCTCCCCCTCCCCCCCCTTCCCCCTCCCCTAGCCCGCTTAAAAGCCTCACATCCTCCCTTTCTATCTTTCTAAATTAAAAAAAAAAAAGAATTCAAATCCGAGTAGAAATTACACCGACCGTTGTTGATGTTGCAATTCATATCAATGTCACAAATATTGCTTTATACATTCCAATCCCTTTCGTGGCTCCGTTTTATGAACACATTTGTTATTTATGATTCGATCTCCCCTCTCTCTCCTCCCCCTCCCCTCTCCCCTCCTCCCCCCCTCGTCCGAAAAGAAGAGGTAAACAAGAGAATTGCCTGAAGGGATTGCTCTCATGCCTCTCTAATTAAATGGCTTTTCCGACATTCGTATCAAACTGAACAGGTTTCTTTTCGGTTCGATTTTACTTAATCGGTTTTCAGGTGTGTATCGTCACATCGGATCCTTTTCCGAAGCTATCTATATCTATATCTATCTATCTATCTATATCTATATTTATATCTATCTATCTATCTCTATGTATATCTATATCTATCTATCTATCTGTCTATCTATCTCTATATCTATATCTATCAATCTATATATCTATCTATATATCTATATCTATATCTATATCGATATCTATATCTATATCTATCTATCTATCTATCTATCTATCTATCTATCTATCTATATCATATATATAATATATATATATACATATATATATATAATATATATATATATATATATATATATATATATATATATATATATATATATACCCACATACATACATACACATACGCAAGCAATACAAACACAATCACACATACACACAATCAAACAAACAAACACACATCCATACACATCCACACACACACACACACACAAACAAACACAAACACACAACACAACAAACAAACAAACACACACACACACACACACACACACACACAAACAAACACACACACACAGACACTCACCCTGACTTGCAGCAGCTGGCCCGTGGTGGCGTCGACGGCGAAGAAGACGTCATTGGCAGCGAAACCGTCGACGCCGTCTCCCGCGACGCTGTAGTGGAGGCGCCCTTGGTCTACCAGGTCGCGGTCGTGCGCCTCCACCTTCAGGAGAGGAGGGCGAGGGCGGGAAGGACAGGGGGAGGAGGGGGAGGGGGGGGGAGGAGGAGGAGGTGGGTGAGGGAAGGAGGGGTGAGGGGTGAGGGGGAGGGGGAGGAGGAGGTGTGAGGGGGTGAGGTTGAGGAGGTTGAGGAGGGGGAGGAGTAGGAGGGGAGGAGGGGAGGAGGAGAGAGGATGGGTGAGGGGGAGGAGGGGGGGGGATGAGTGAGGGAGGAGGAGGGAGGAGGGGGAAGAGGAGGGTGGGGGAGGGTGGTTGTGGGGGGAGAGGGTATGAAGGGGAGGAGGAGGAGGAGGTTCAGGGATGAGGGAGAGGATGGTTATGGGAGGGGAGGGGAGGGGGGAGGAGGAGAGAAAAGGTAAGGGGGGAGAAGGGGTTAGGGGGGGGGTTGAATGGTTAGGTGGGGGGAAGGGGATGAGGTGAAGAAGGAGAAAGAAGGAAAGGAGACATAAAACAGAGGAGAAGAAAGGACAGAAGGGGAGGGAGAGAGTAAGTAGGCGGAGGAGGAAAGGAAAAAAGGAAGAGGAGAAATGAAAACGAGATCAGACAAGTGGGGAGACAATTTGTATAAAAGGAAAACAATTGGATAAGGCAGCCTTTTGAATTATATCTCTAACCGTTTATGTATTGTACATCAGCATATAAAGGTACTGTCACATTAGCACTTTTCCGTCAATTTTTTGACAATTTTCAGAAATTTTGTCCATTTTTGAGCGAATTGCCGATTTCCCAGTCAGACGATAATGATCGTTTCCGTTTGAAAACCTTTCCGTCAACTTTTTCAGTCAAATCAAGAGCTATATTCGAGAATGTTTGTATTTATGTTAAATAAAATTGTAAAAAAAATGACGGAAAAAGTGCTAGTGTGACACGGCCTTAAGTAAGTGTTCTCTCTCTCTCTCTCTCTCTCGCTCTCGTTCTCTTTCTCTCTCTCTCTCTCTCTCTCTCCTCTCTCTCTCTCTCTCTCTCTCTCTCTCTCTCTCTCTCTCTCTCTCTCTCTCTCTCTCTCTCTCTCTCTCTCTCTCTCTCTCTCTCTCCTCCCACCCTTCCACTCCTCTCTCTCTATCTTCCTCTCTCCCTTCTCCCCCCCCTCTCTCTATCTATCTCTCCTTCTCTCCCTTTCTCTCACACGCACATACACCACGTACACACACAACATTCCAGCCAACATGTGCACATTCCCCACCACGCATAAACCTACTGACCTTAGCAAGAGGCAGTGGGAGGTCACGATCATCTTCCTCGATGACCGTAGCCTTGAGGTCAGAGGTCACGAAATAAGGCGGGTTGTCGTTCACATCCAGCACCCTCACCAGCACGAGGGCATGAACCAACACCCCGCTCGCCTCCGCTGCCACCACCAGTTCGTGCTAAACAGTAGAAGGGGGAGGTTTGGGTTTATGTTTGTTGGAGAAGAGGGAAAAAGGGGAAGGAAGGAGAGACAGAGAGAGGAAGAGAAGGAATGGGGGTGAAGGAAGGAAGGAGAGAGAGAAAGAGAAGGAGAAGGGGAAGGATGAAGAGAGAGGGTGAGAAGGAAGGGGGGGAGGGAAGGAGAGAACAGGAGGAGGGGAAAGAAGGAGAGAGAGGAATAGAAGGATGGAAAGAAAGGAGAGAGAGGGAGAGAAGGAGGAGGGGAAGGAAGGAGAGAGAGGGAGAGAAGGAAGCGGTCAGGAAGGATAGAAAAGGAAGGAGAGAGAGGAAGAGAAGGAGAAGGGGAAGGAAAGAAAGAGAAGGAGAGAGGGGATGGTGAAGGAAGGAGAGACAGGAAAAGATAGATGAGGGGAAGGAAAGAAAGGGAGAAAGACAGATGATAAGGGAAAGGAAGGAGAGAGAGGAAGAGGGGAAGGAAGGAGAGAAGGAGGAAGGAAAAGAAGGAGTGAGAGGAAGAGAGGGGAGGGTGAAGGAAGGAGAGAGTGGGAAAAAAAAAGAAATAGTGGAAGAAGAGAAACGAAGAGGGAGAGAGAAGACAAGGGATAAAGACAGTGGAAGGAGGGAGAGAGGAAGAGGGGGAAAGCAGTGTAAGGTAGGGGTAAGGAAGGGCAGAAAAAACAAGGGAAAAGAGAGTAGAAAGAGAAACGACGAAAGGAGAGAAAGGGAGAGGGGGAAAAGACAAAGGAAAGAGAGGGTAAGGAAGAGGAGAAAGAAGAAGAGAGAAGGACACTGGAAGGAGCTGGGAAGAGGGAAAAAGACAGTGGAATGACAGAGAGAGAGAGAGAGAGAGAGAGAGAGAGAGAGAGAGAGAGAGAGAGAGAGAGAGAGAGAGAGAGAGAGAGAGAGAGAGAGAAAGAAAGAGAGAGAGAGAGAGAGAAGAGAGAGAGAGAGAGAGAGAGAGAGAGAGAGAGAGAGAGAGAGAAGAGAGAGAGAGAGAGAGAGAGAGAGAGAGAGAGAGAGAGAGAGAGAGAGGATTTGAAGAGAAGGGAATGAGGAGAGAGAAAGGTAAGTAAAGGAAAATAAGGAATATTAATAATGATAATTACTACAAGAATATCAACGATAATAATAATGATAATTACAACAATAATAAACGATAATAATAATGATAACAATAAAGATAAGAAAAAGAAAATATAAAGAAAAAAAAAGAAAAAAGAAAATCAGTTTGTAAAAGACAGAAGAAAAAATAAATAAAAGAAGCAGACAAACAGGAAAGGGAGAAAGAAAATACATAAAAAACATACGAGGACGCGAGGCAGCCAAACTTCCA